GCTGGTCATAATAGACCATTAGTTAAATTTTGGAGAAGTCAAAAATTATATGTGGATTTCAACAGGTCAACCCCAGCCCCCTTTTCCTACCCTCAGAGTTGTTTAAGGGCCAACTGTACTAACCTCCTGTCCTCCTAGCACTAAGGCTGCTGTTGCCAGGTTTGTTGCCCTCTAATCGCAGTCCTTAAAAGCATATACAGTCTAGCCTAAGACTGAATGGCACACAATATGTGGGAAATAGAAGTGTGACTGCTGCATCTCAGAGATGTTTAATGGAGAAGAAAAAAAGATAAGTCGGGATTGTTACCTTATGGTCATCTACAGGGCTTGGAAATTGGTATCTGGAAGCCTTAGGTTATGGAGCATATAAATGTTAAATCCTGGAATTTGTTTTTGTAACTATAGAGTTATTAGTGTATATAGTTAAGTGAATTAGGTGTTAAATAGCTTGATATAGTAATCTTCAACAGGGTAGAAGGATAAGATTTAGTTGTGAGTAGTTGTATCATTTAAGGCAATACTGTTTGAGTTGGGGTCTTGCTTTGTCATCCAGGCGAAGTATCGTGGCACGGTGGTGGCTCACTGCGGCCTTGACCTCCTAGGACTGTAGGCATGTGTCATGTGCCACTATGCTCAGCTAATTTTTATTTTTTATAACAAAGAGGTCTTGCTGTGTTGTCCAGGCTGGTCTTGAGGCTCCTTAAGCAACTTTCTCTCCTTGGCCAAAGTACTGGGATTAGTTGAATCAGACCGCTGTGCCCAATCTAAAAGACAGCTTATGTTTATGTAGTATATACTGTTAAAGATAGTTGTTTCATTTGGGAGGCTGAGGTGAGTGGATTGCCTGAGCCTGCGGGTTTGAGAGTCGCCTGGGCAACTTAGTGAGACCTCATCTCTACAATAAAATCAAAAAAATGAGCTGGGCATGGTAGCGCGCACCTGTAGTTCCAGCTACTTGGAAGGCTGAGGCGGAAGGACTGCCGGAGCCCAGCAGGTCGAAGTTGCAGCAGCCGGAGCGCGCCACTGCATTCCAGTCTGGGCTACAGAGTGAGACTCCGACTCACAAAAAAAAGATAGTTGTTTCAGATAGTTTTAGGAGTGGGAAGGCAGTTGGTCAAAGCATGGCGAATGTGCTTGAGTTTGGATGGATTGGACCTTGAAAAGCAAATGCTGGAATCTAAAGATAGTTTCTGAGGTATGTAGAGTATTACGCAAGCTAAAATTGTCATTTGAGTTGCTAGAATGTTTCTTTGGGGTGAGGTAAAATTTTTTGTTGGCATTTTTTTTCCCCTTTTTGCGTTGTATTTTGTCTGTTTTTAAGAAACTTGCTGCCGGGCTCGATGGTTCAGCCTGTAATCCCGTGCCTTTGTGAGGCTGAGGTGAGTGAATTGCCTGAGCCTACGGGTTCGAGACCCGCCTGGGCAACTTGACGAGACCTCATCTCTACAATAAATCAAAAATGAGCCGGG